CGTGCCAGACTGGATAGGCGAGGCTAACTGGCCAACCAGGGCAAGTCCTAAGCGGCAATTCCCCACCCACTGCATGCCTGGGTGCAACCCATTCAACAGCGCACATTCGGCAGGGTGCACATGCCGGTATTGCTCACCGGACTTGATCAACACGGTGTGGATGCCTCGGGACTGGATTCGCTGATTAGTGAAAGCCGCACGTCTGCACCCACAGGGGCATGGAATGAGTTGATTTCCCCATCCGTGCAGTGCGGTTTGCATGGGCAGGTCGCTCCTCAATACTGCGGTGTCTAGGTCACCTAAGACTTGGGAGAACACTCGAACCTCATGCTCGGTTAACAACAACTGCTGGATCTCATGCTCTGGCCACGGTGCCAGAGTGGGCATGATGCTGGCCACAGTCCTGTGCTGTGGATCCGCAGGCAATGGGCGCAACTGAACTGGGCCGAAGTCTTGACTGGACAAGCCCACCACCGGATGCGTCGGGCTCCCCACGTGTCTTGCAACTGCAGGACCTACTGGGCTACGTGGTACTGATGGCGGGATGCAAATGCTTGCAATTGGCCCTGCACCCATGGATCATGCTGCACTTCAGCTACACATTCAAGAACCACTACTTGGCTTTGGAGTAGCTGGCAGGGCCGCCGGCAGGGTTTTGGCTCGCATGTCTGACTGGCCCTTATTGTCTCCCAGTCGACTGAAGGGTTGACAACTGAAGCCACATGTGAGTGTGCTGTGTTGGGCTCCTTGCATGGCGATGGCTCGCTTGATGGGCAGCTGGGTGATGTCCCCTTCCAAGATGAGCAAACGTTCATCTCGGGCGTTTGCCCTCAACACCTGGCATGTATCGAACTGCTTGTCGTTCTGCAGCTGGATGTGATACGATGCAGCTTCTGCACCTTTGCCAAGGGCTCCCAATCCGGCGCAAACCTCCACCAGCTCGAGGTGATCCTGGACCGAGGGTTCACGGAAAGCCCTGACCTGCGTGGTCTGGCATCTGGTCACCGTCAAGCTCTTCCCAGATCGGGCAGTGAGGACTCCCACCAAAAGCACCTTGGCTGCAGCTGGGATCGGGAAGTGAACGCGCACCTCCATCTTGTCAGTCAACGACCAGCCTACCGACACCGGGTCACCTGGGCTCTGTACGGCAACTACCATGCCTCAAGGAGTTGGCCTGGTCAGCCTGGCCATCTGGAAGGCCCCTTGAGCCCAGGCTAAAAAAAAACATCTTCGTGCTGGTGTTCAGGCAAACCACATGAAAGTGATCCTGATTTGGGTTTGCAATATTTTCCTTTGGGTTCTGGGTATGACCCACCAAGCCGCGATCAATCGCGGGCGTTCGCGCAGAGCCTCAGACAGAAAGTGCCGAGAAGGTCCTCCCAGTGATGTTTCGAACGTAGGAAAGTTGAAACGTGGAAAAGCCGACTTTTGCTTGTTTTTCTTGTCTATATACTTTTCTATTTGTATCACTTTTTCGATATACGTTGTTTGCTTTTCAACGTTTCTCACTTTTCTACCTCTACTTGTCTTGCATTTCTCACTTTTCTCACGTCTCTGCTTTTCTCACTTTCTAGCTTGTTTGCTCTTCTCACTTTCTCACTATTCTCGCTTTTTTCACTTGTCAGCGTTCCCACTTTTCTCACTTTTCTAATTCTCACATTTCACACGTTTCTCTTTCTGATTTTTCTCTCTGTCCTCACTGTTCTCGCTTTTCTCGCTTGTCTCACTTTTCTCACTTTCTGCTTAGCTTCCGGTTGGGCCAGTCCCCCTCGATTTAGAGACATTGCGCATTTTTGAGAACATGGGGGCAGTTTCGGCGCAGGGGTCTGCATTTTGGCTTGGAAAGGGTTTAGTGGACATTGTGGGCTTGTGATGCAAGAGTGGCACAGCAGGAGCGGCAGGCCCCAGTATGTAGGCCAAGCCGCGGGGAAGATTTAGGTTGCTCTTTGGTGTGACGTTGAACCTCTTTTTGTTCACTGAGCAAAATGTGTTGGCCATCTTTTGTCGGGTCACCTCGATCAATCTGGACAAGGTATACAACTACAGGCATTCCACCAGAAAAGGCGATTTTTTGCAGTCCCCGAACCTGCCACTCGGCTCTGGATATGGTGTTTTTGGACAGACCAGTGAGTCAGCCAGGGGGGTTCTGAATCCGGGGGTCCCCATCCCCCCGGCAGGAGGGCTGCCTGGGCTTCGGGAAGGCCTGCAAGCGCCTGCTGCAGCTGCGGCCTTTGCCGCCGCCCCAAGGCGGCCTTGGCCAAAAGGGCGGAGTGCAAACCGCGGGGAAGGAACCCCCAAGGCTGACCTTTGCAGTTGTTGCCGCCTCAACACCTGGAGTCTCCGTGAACCTTTAACAAAGGGCGAGTGACCCACTTTTGGGTAGATGAGCCCCATGCTTTCAAAGTCAGGGAGACTTAGGTGGTGTTTAAACTCTTGCAGGTACACCCAGGCCTGCAGCTTCTAGCACACACGAAGGTTTCAACAAATCATGTTTCCCCTA